GGGCTGAAATTTTATATACGTTTAATTTAGATGATAATCTATGATAAGTTGTGTGGCGTCATTCTAAATCCAATATGGCGGACGCTTTTATGATCATATAATTTGTGTATAATGAGGTTATAAGTTGATAGTTAAAATTTAAAAGGAAAATTTTATTTTCTTATTTTTAGAGCGTTTACATAAAAGTTCTTTTAAATTTTTTTGCTTTAAGTTTTTATAAATTGCTCGTTCTCTTGATTTTGTTTCTTTTATTTAAGTACAACGCATGCTTTCTCCATACTATAACTCATTCTCTCACTCATTTCTCACACTTCACTTTCACAGAGTATCCATTTAACGAACTCCGTAACCGCACACGGCTATTGTTCACACGTAGGTTTCAATGTGTAACCATCTCTGAAGTCCTGGATGTAACCATCTCTGAAGTCCGATTACTGTGTCAATACTGTGGCGACTTCCTTACACATGGACATCTATCTGATTGCTGTTCACAAAAAATGTGTCGTTATACATTTATACAATGTCCAATTTACCTACATCAGTCCAACCTACCAACAATCTAACATCCAGCTCGCAGACTCGGAGGGAGGTATTTACCCTTTAGTCTCTAGCACGGTACTTAGATAAGACTTCACCATTTTCTGAATTTAATGAAGCATCATACCAGTTCATCATCGTCATGAGCTTTTTTATTTCTTTTGCTGGTGAATAGGCTTTCTCTATGAAATCAAACCGAATAAGGAGCCGCGAAACCGTAACGCGGTCCAGTGCGGATTGTTACAACTGTAAATGAGAGTCAACTCGAAATTATAAAATTCCATTTTAAAAATACATAGTCTCATATTACGACCTACGTAGGCGAGTGGTTCGCGCACCGGTTACAAGGTGTAACCATCTCTGAGGTCCCGGGTTCGATTCTCGATGGGGCAATATAAAAAATGAAATTTTCTATTTTGTCTCGAGTCTGAGTGTTATGGTACTTTCGTTGTCTTAGATACTCCATAATACAGGGGCTCTAGCTATTCATCTTGGAGTTGAGCAATGTATGTGATTAGATGATATTCTTTGATATTTATTTATTAATGATAGTAGTTTTTGATTAAATAAACATGGCAACACTTTACAACGCTGTCAAAAAAGAACCCACATTACATTTGAGATAACGAAACGATTACATCATCTAGTATAGTAGTATAGTATATATACGACCGATAAGTACTGATGTGCTATTTAGTCGTTCCTTTGTTCGTTCTAAAGTTAGTAACCGGATAAGGTTGCATTCAACGGAGTTTTTACATCTAATCTATAAATATTAGCAATAAATGAGTTTGAATTTGAATATTAAACTTTAATTTAAGTGAAATTACACCTAAAACTTCTAGAGGAACTATCGCAATCGTAATGTAAGTACATCATTAATCACTAGTATATTAAAGTCTCCATTTTGTGCTGCTCAGGCCTTCCATATAAATGGAATTGAATAGGGAGTATGGGTCATGCATGATCCACGTATGATTGGTGGGTGTTAATGACTGCAGTTGCAACCAGGACCGACTGCCCAACATGCTTGCTGAAGCACGGAGGAGCTCGTGATAATAATTTTTTGGTCACCCATCCTATAGCCCTGCCTTGCGAAAAGTCCTTAAAAAACGTATCGCAAATCGAGCTACCACAGTAAAGGAAAATATTATCTAATTATATAATGTTAGTAAATAATACTTTATTAATAATACTTTATTAAAGCGTAATTGAATAGTTTTATAATCAATATATTTCTTCAAGTATATTATTGTGAATGCAAAATTGCTGAATGGATTTGTTTATTTTTACTATTCTGTAAAAATATAAGCAAAATAAAAAATAAGCGCAGAGGCGGAGAATTATATTTAAACTATGTATGGTTTACCTTTTGAACTTTTATTACCTTTTGAAGTGCGATTTATTTATATAGTTTGTATTATGACAGCGCTGCGTCCACCTTCGAGTTAGAGGCTAAAATTTTCACAGAATATCACTGCTGGTTTCTTGTATTGATATAGAATTTTGTTTATTTTAGTTGATTTTTTATTACACAATTAAACGCCTTGATAAAAAGTCGAATTTAGCCAAATACATTTCGAAAACGAACTAAAATATATCAAAAAGATTTAATTTTTATACTTATTAATAATAAAAGAAGGTAGCTCGGTGGCGTAGTGGATAAGCGCCGCGGCCCGCGATCGTTGTCGTTAAGCAACTTTCGCAAGGGTCGGTCACGGGATGGGTGACAAAAAAATTATTATCCCGAGCTACTTCGTGCTTCGGAAGGCACGTTAAGCCGTTGGTCCCGGCTGCACTTGCAGTAGTTTTGCAGTCGCATTGGGCCAGCGTGGAGGGTCATGGCCCATCCTCCTTAACCATCCATAAGGAAGGCCTAAGCCCCTGCAGTGGGGACGTAAAAGGGCTGGTGATGATGATGATGATGAATAATAAAAGATAGTATAATTATACAAGAGTATAAACAAACGCTATAAACAGGTTCAGCCAAATAAAACCTACTTCGAAAGGCAACAATAGTTATTTAAGATACGAGTGCGGAAAGTAAGGTTTTACGAATAAGGGCCAAATTCGAAAAACCTTTTACTCTCTAGTTTCTTACAACATTTTTCAATGCTTTTTGCGAGGAAATAAAACAAATATATAAATAATAGGTTAATAAAACTAAGTACGTATTAAAGGTAAAAATTATTTGTTCAAATTAAACGTGATATTTGAACACGTTTTCGTGTTATACATTTTTATTTGAAAATATTCGTTCTAGGCTCCTTGAAATACTTTTGCCTCTAAAGTTTGACATATTTTCGTCATTTTTTTTAAATTTCTTTGGTGCTCGGCAAAAAAAGACTCACTTTCGGTGTTTACAATGGATTAAAAAAATAGCGCTTTATGCCCAGTGCGGATTGGTGGGTATTGACGATTACACATGCAGCCAGGACCAACAGCTCTACCACAGGACCAACAGGTAAAGCTGTTGGTCCCGGTAATCGTAATAGGCTTGTGTCCTACAAGTGAAAATACAGGTTTTTGTTATATCTTCGAAAAATATGAACCATTTTAACTTATAATTGTTTAACAAAACAAATTTTAAGTCACTGATTTGGAAAATTTTACGCTTTGAAAACTTGAAAAAAGTAGAAAAAATCTACTACAAAAATTTGCTAAAATACATTAGGCATTAAATTAGATATAAAAAATGTTACAATTTTCATTATAACAACTATAAACATAAACGCACAAATAATAAAGATATTACAAAAAATGTCCAGACGCCCATACATTTTTCGCTACAGTACCACCATGTGACGTCACTTAGTGCCTTGAATTTGTAGGGAGCGTTTTCGGCCAACTAGCGGCAGTTCTACAAACACAGCACCGTATCTCCGAAACTATTTATCGCAGACATGCTGTTACTTCGACATTATTTTTCAGATGTTAATGGACTATTTATTTATGAAATAAAAAAACGTTGGCAACTAGCCTATTGTAGCAATTTTCTCGATGGCCGGCGTTTCGGAAGACAGCTTCCGAAGCGCCGGCCAATGAGAAAACTGTCCCCAGATTGTCTAATTTTAAATCTATGGCAATCGCTTTCAATTTGAAAGGTGTTGCACAACCATTGCTGCATAATACAAATACTTTTTTTTCAACTGTCTTCAGAAACAAGCAATGGTTATACAACATCTTTCAAACCGAAATATTTTAAAGTTAGACAATTAGTCCCCTGATTAACAACCTAGCCACTGTGCCATCGAGCTCTTCTATTTTTTTTATATATTGGATCCTCTAATACCGTGACAGCGCTGTATTTTTCCGGAATAGAAAAACTGTATGTACAGTGCCCGGAACGAAAGTAAACCCATTATGGCGTGGCGCAGCTATAATTGGGGTAAAAAAAATTAATAAAAAACACGTAAAACACGTATTCTTTAATTAATAAATCAAATAAAAAATCTTTATTAAAAGGACCCTATACACATTCAGAACAACATTCAGTCAATAGGGGTGTCCATTACAGTAGATAGGTAACGAATGTGTATTATGTATGTATTGTATTACATTGTTGATATTGTTTAATGAAATATTACAATATGATTTCAAAATATAAAGTCACAAAATTCACAACAACGACGACATTTCGTGTATTATAAATCACTTATTTCTTGAGTGTCCTTAATAATTAAAAAAGTGCATTTGCTGGTGGTGGGAAGTGAATTTGTAGGGAAACGTCAAGAGCGGGATGACACTAGGCCCTGTTGCCAGGGTTAAGTTTCTCCCCTTCGCACACTTTACCTCCGTCGATACCGATTTTCGTTAACTACGCAGGATTTATTTTCGTACCGGGCACTGTACCCTATGTTATATAGTTGAAATTTTAGAATATTAACTGTTGAAATAATTCAATCGACCGTAGAATAAAGTCTTATTTGACTAGATGTTAAAGAATTTGCCATAATATAAATATATCTGACTTTGTCCACGTAAATTATACCTAGCCTATGTCGCCAGCGCATGATGTAGCTTCGCAAAGGTGAAAGAAAAATAATTCCAGTAGTTTCAAAGCCTAACTTTTGTTAGTCTTTTAGGTTGTATCTACTAACGTTGATATTAAATAGCATCTATTGTAACTATCTTATCGAAATTTATAAGGAGAAATAAGATAACTAGCAATTCATACTCTAGAATAAATAAATGCCAAATAACAAATCACTTTATACTATACACAAGGCTGGACGTCAGACTATACATTGTGGACTTTGTGGCGACTGCGCTTCGTATAGAACTTCTCCACTAACCGAGGTCTGCTTATGGTGGTGGTGTGTAGCAATGACGTGCGGTCGTACGTGCTTAAAACTACAAATTGCTCTCTTAGAAACAATGGAAGTTGAAAATAATTATAGTTTTTATAAGATATAGCACAGTAGCGCCCCCCATGCATCGCTACCAAAGTTATTAAGAATTCTAAAAACCCTGAGATTTCTTGAGATTGCAAATTCGACCGCAATCCTGAGCAGAGTTCCAAAATCCTGAGATCTCATGACAAATCCTGAAATGATTCTGTCCCTATTAAAGTATTTTTTTTTAATTTTTCAGATACTAAAATGAGGATTCGAAATTTCTGGAAGAATATTGAAATTGAATTAAAGCCATATGAACTGAAAAATTGCGAAGTTGTTTTAGATGGGCAAAACTTTTTATATACTTTGTACAAAAATGCGAAATTGCCTTTTGAATTTGGATGCGAAAGTGATAAATACGCCGATTATTTACGACAGTACCTGAGTATTTTTAAAAAAGCAAACATTAAATGTTATTTTCTATTCAAAGGAGGCGACAGTGATGACACGGTACGTAGAAAAGATGCAGATGAAACCTATGAAAGTAAGAGATATGTAAGACCAATATTCATGAAGGAGATATATAGACAAGTTCTTGAAGAAATGAATTTCGATTATGTCGTTTGTGAATTTGAGAGTAAAAGACAATGTATCACCCTGGCTCAAAAACTTCAATGCCCGTTGATCAGTTTTGACATAGAATTTTGTTTTTCGGGAGTACCTTACATACCAATTAACCACAATGGTAAATGTTTACGCTACGATGACAATACAAATTCAGTTCACTGTGCATTATTTCGTTATATTGATTTTATAAAAAAATATAATTTGACCAAAGAAAAACTAGCGACTTTCATTCTTTTAACGGATGAGTATATTTTTTCTGAAAATCACCAACGAAATATAATTAATGCAATAAATATAAGGGTCTATAATACTTACCTACGAAATTTATATTTATTGAATTGGCTATCAAAACGAAAAGATGAAGATATCAAAAGAATTATTCATAAATACTTGCATAAAGATAGCATCGACGAATTTGAGTGCAAAAAAAAGAAAGTTATTGAATTTATCTGCAGGAGAGCGACTCCTGGCATACCTGTTGACTATTTAATGAACGGTAAACATATTGAATTCGTTGAGAACGATCCAATGTGGTTCGAAAAAGGTGTAGCATCTGGTTACGTTGCTTTAGAGTATGTCAACATTTTTCACAGGAATATAATTGAGGGATCTTGGTGTCTTGAAGACCCTGAGGCAGAAGACGCCATGTTTCTTTCTCTGGATATTATAAAATATGCATATAACCTTTTGACAAACTTCGAGAGAAAAGAATTACGGTTCGTTAGTAACGAAGATGAAGTAACAACCATTATTATTGCTGATGAGACTCCAATCCCGAAACCATCGTACGTAGCTGTCCAGAGTCCATTCGAAAACGGATGGGATCAAATAAAAGCTTTGGGATTCTTTGAACATTTCCTTAAAAAATCAATGCCAACTGCTGACTTTAGTATTCTGAATGCTGTGCCTGAGGACGCCAGACTTTTAATTATAGCTTTAGTCTATTTTTCAAAACAGAAAGCTGTTGATACGACCGTTGAAATATGCAGTGTGCTTTTATCATATGTGATTTTGAGAATTGTCGCCGAAAAATCTAACAGCAGTTATAATGTCAAGCACGAATTAGTTCCAAGGCCGTATATCGACCATTTTACTGATGAGAACCTCGTCACGGAAATGGACAGTGATATAGCGAAAGACGCAATGAATAAATATTTCCATACAGATTCAACACCGGAAAAACTGGCAACAATATTCGATGAAAAGATGATTCACCCGTTAATTGAATTTCAACATTGCCTTCAATGGTTAAATTTCTTGAACAAGCTATGTGGGTCTCCATACAAGGATACAATTTATAGTCGCACATACAACGGTACGTTTGTTTACCAAGTTGCACATACAATTAATCACAAATATTCTGGCATAGCTAAGGACTTCGTCGAGAAAGAGTTGTCTCCTGCCGCAACAGTTTTGGCTTTTTTCAACGGTCTCAAAGATATTTATGTTGAAATTATGCACTTTTGATTAATCAAAACGAACCAGCATATTTTATAATTATTAAAGTATCCATTGATATTATTGATAATTGTGATAATAGGTAGTGATATTATGTAATATGTGTGTTTCATATGTTTACAAAAACATCTAGTATTGTTCCAAATATTCAGTAGTAAGATTCTGTCTTCGGTCATTAAAAATATCTTTTACAACAAACACGTTTATTTTTCCTTTTTTTATACATAATGGTATAAAATACTTCGTGCACGAGTCCGACTCGTACTTCGCTGGTTTTTGTCTATACAGTACACTAGTAATAAAGCTGAAGATTTTATTTGATTATTTGTTTGATAATGGATAACTACTGGAACGAATCGAATTATTGTTATTGTTTTGAATAGTCCACTTATCGAGAAAGGCAATAGGCTATATAGCATCACGCTATGGCTTATAGGAGTAGAGCAGCAATGAAAAATGTTACGAAATCTGAAGGGTATTTTACTTTTTAAAGCTTTCCACGCGTGCGCTGCGTAAACGGTGAAGTTGCGCAATATCAATGTATTACGAAATATATCCTTTTTAAAAGTTCAAAAAAAAAGTCCAAGGCAGCATAAGTCTATCTTATATCTTATCCCAATAAACAGCCCATAAACGAACGAAAATGGGAGTAGGGCACAGAGAATAGATAAAAAGGTGTAGGGCATGAAATCGTTACCATAGTAACCGTTGTTTTAATTATATTCCATATCATCCTTTTCCAAATCCATTATTAAATGATTGAAGCTGTTACCGCAGGATTAAATAATGTTTTGAATAATTGTAAACGGCACAATTTTTGTCGCTAATATTATATGTAGACTTGCAATGAATAGTATATTCGGCCATATGCCGAATACCGAATATTCGGCGAGCTTCCTGGCCTAATAGCCGAATATATGGCATAAGTATTCGGCTGGTATGTGGCGCCAAAACTTGTATCTACGTGATTGTTTCGCGCTCATTTGTTGTAATGTACTCACCACCCTGTCACTCCGGGCCGCCCGGGCACTGCGTGTTTTGACAAGATTAGTTCGTGTATATCGTACGTTTATAGTTCACTTTGTGGTTTGATTTGTTTGTAAGTAAAATTGTGAAAGATTCCACAAATAAATAATAAAATAATTACCTACATACTTTTATAATAATAATTATTATTAAAAATAATATTCGATTATGGCCTCTAAAAAGAAATCACCTATATGGACATACTTCGGGTCTGCTTTAGTGATGAAAGTGACGCGAAGTGTCATGTTCTGTGGTCGTGATCGATAGTCTAAAGATCAGTTGTGAAGAAAACAGCGACGATAACGCGAATTCGTCTACTACTTTGGCTAAGATGAAAACTGAAGACACATCAATACAAAAAAATGCAGTTGCGACAGAATTGAATCTTTTCTAAGTATTAATAACATATCACGGCATGACAATCCGTATACGTGGTGGCGAGCAAGAAAACATAAATATTGGTTAAGTATTTATGTTTTCTTGCTCGCCATTTAGCTGCCTCTACTGAGCACTAGACCCACTGGTCTATGTAACGGATATATTATTTCGGTTACAGTTACCGATACGGATACAGATATTTGAGAATTGTTATATCGGTTTCGGTTACGGTTATGATTTCTTTTCGGATTATCCTGTAGTTTCGGTTATGGATACCAGTATCTAAAAGTACTAAAGTAGTATATCTAGATTTAGATACAAAAGAGTATTGATTTCTTTATATAAATAGAGCATGAATTAGTGAATACTTAATTGTACTCCATAAATAAGACAAAGGATATAATTAAATATTTTGAGTCTATTACTTGCAATAAAAAGCTTGCAATAAATTGAAAGTTTTTAATTGAAATATATTCGTTGTAAGTATAATATGTTCGGTTATTATTCGGTATTCGGCCTATTCGGCTACTTTTGTTATATTCGGGCGAATACCGAATTTGTCCATACTATTCCATAATTATATTTTGTTGTTATTCGCAAAATAAAAGAAATCATTGATTTATTTTATAATAATATTATTTTAATCATGAAAGTCAAGAACAGATAGTACACAACCATCTTTACATTACAAAATTTTATGAATTTTGTGCATTTGAATCGTTGCCGTCATCAAAGTTTAGAAGCGAAAGGTTATGGTGTAAAAATCATGAAGATAAAGTAAAAGAACTGGAGGCCAAACTCAGAACTATTGGTTGAAGCAAAGTTATTTGACCTCTATTGACCTTTCGTTGGACTTCTGGGTGGCTATGTCATAAATCTAAATTTTCCCGGAACCTGTACCGGTCGTTGATGTTATTCGCTAATTTTATTTTGCATAAACTTTTTGACAGTTGGTACTAATAGTATAGTTTTACTCGTCACTAATTGCATAGGACTTGAAACTTTATTTATATATCAGAAATAAGATTGTACATAAAATATACATTGAAATCCAATCCAATGTAACAAAAAACTTAAACAAAAGAGTTATTAAGCAATAACTACAATTAAATAAAATATAAAATAAAAAATGGTACGCAAATATTATAAACAGAAGGGAGATACATAAAAGCAATTTAATAAAAATTATTAACTTTTTACCGTAGTCATGTCACTCTCATTAATCAATAATCCAGACTTGCAATTTAATTTGTTGAATTATTATTAAAATATATAATTTGTAAAATTATATTCCACTATAGACCGTTTCACATAGAATGGATACGATGACATTTGTTAACAAATTTGTTAACAGTTGATGAATAAATATTATTTTCAAATCCTGTTTTATATATTGATCTCAAAACCGTTTATCTCTATTAGAAATAAACTCAATAACATCCAGTTTTTGTACCTAAAACTTCAAACCCCAAACGTCATTGTACCCATGTTATGTGAATAAGACACCGTAATTTTTTTTTCTAAATTTCCCCATTATTGTGGTAAATGGCATGCTCAAAAAATGGCAACCTCGCGTGTGTCAATATGGCGAATGACAATTACTAATTTTGTCGACTCGAAAATTGTGATTCATAAATAAATGTTTCTCACTATCAAATCGTGAAAAATGGTTCAGAAATGTGTAGTCCTATAGTCTGTTCATCTTCCTCTGAGACAAAATGCAAACAAACTGGAAAAAGGTTCTTTAATATGTCAAAATATAAATGCATTTTGAATTAATGAAAAAAGAAAGTGATATTAAAAGCATCTAAAATTTAAGCTGTTCCCAAACATTGAACGTATTATAATACTACTAAATTGAGGAGTAGTGATAAGGCAAATACTTTACGTAAAATCGTGAAATTTTGTAATTAGTCGGGTTATACCGGCCATTTTTACTCTCGATCAACTTGTTGACTCGTGCAAAATGCTTCCGTTAAATTCTTGTCATTTGTTTACTCCAGTTGTAAAGTTTGTTGTTTCTTTGTTGTTATATTGACATTTTGTTAAAATATAATATGTTAAATATAATATGTTAATATTTAAATATGTTGACGAGACATGGCCCAAGGATTCGTATCCTTACAAAAGTGATATCGTCAACAAAACGGCAGAAATAATGAGAATATCACGCGCAACTGTGCACAGGATTATTAAAGAATCACAGTGGCAAAAATTTCACCTTACCACTGTGAATTAAATCTTATTGAACTGTTATGGGCCCAAGTCAAAGGATATGTCGCAAAAAATAATAAAACTTAGAAGTTAAATGAAAAAAAAAACTTTATTAACCGATGCTCTAAAAAGGGTAACAGTAGGAGATTGGCTAAAGTGCATTGACCATGTCATAAAAGAAGAACAAAAATTTTAAAAATTGATAGTATCATGATGATTTGGTTGACCGTTTTGTGATAGAAGTTGGTGCGACTAGTTCCTCAGAGGAAGACGGGGAAGATTCTGAATAAAATTATTTACTCTATATTTGCTAGTTTTATTTGAAAAAGAAATAGACATATTGTGTTGCATACCTTCCATACAATAATTTGTTCTATTAACAAATTTTATTTACAAACCAACATCAATAAAAAAGTTTGAGAAACATTGGTTTGTTTGTTTACATTTTGTCTCAGAGGAAGTTGAATAGACTATAGGTTGTGGAAGCAAATGGCATCCTGGATGTTCTTTGATATTTCACAGGTGAGTCGTAAGTTACTATAATTAATGACTGTTTGCATTTTATAATAATAATGTTTTTAACGTAGAATCCTTCAATTTTTGATCATGTACAATAATATGGTATCCAAAGTAATATATATGATTTAATTGTTTACAGTAGCATATTTCAGAAATTTTCTATCAAAACCACAGTTCACATTGTAAAATAAAAATAAACAAACACTAATATGGTGACCATGAAAGAAGATAAAGGATAAACAATAAAACTGAACTTAATATTTTTTATTTCATTTTTAGTTTTCCCAAGGGTCCAATAAGGAGAAGTCAATGGCTACCGAGTATCAAATAAAAAAATAAGTTTATTGAAACTGCAAAAATATGCAGTAATCATTTTGTGGCTACTGATTATATAATAGAGAATCGGTTAAACCATACAACTATTCCTTTTTATTCTGATGTGGTTAGTAAAAATCTATTATCTACTAATTAGGTACTAATTCTTAGGTAGCTAAAATAGAATATAACTGGGTAATAATAATAATAACTTCCGAGTAAAACGCGAACTTGTGGCTCGACGACCTTTTTAAGTACGCGTATTTAAGATGACACGCAAGCGAAAAAGGTTGTCGAACCACAAGTTCACGTTTGGAAGGAATAGGAAGGAATATTTTACTTAATGTAATATGTCATGAAAAAATGGTTCGTTTTTTTTTCAGTCGGGACAATCTGATCTAAAAAGTGATGCATTTACCATGCCTTCTACACCTTCAACATCTCGTCGTGGGTTGTCTGATAGACTTGCTATGATAACAATAAAATAATATTTATTGTCATCAAAACTGTACTTTTTTAGTCACATAGGTATAAATTAAATAAAAAAATAACATAATGTTGTTTTATTTTTATCTGAGAATGACTATTACATCTGAGAATCTAAGAGAAGAATGTGATATGTAAATCGGTAAATTGACTTAAGGGTGAAATATTTACTGGGCGCTTATTCCATTTCAATTCGGTCGGAAGGAAGGTAAGCTGACAATCGTAGTCTGCAGTCTTGTTGTTCACTTTGCATATTAGATCTTCTCCATGCTTTGGAAGGCACGTTAAGCAGTTTGTCCCGATTGCATCTGCTGTTGTAAATACCCTCCAATCCGGATGGACCCATTGTGGGTACATCAATAGGCTGGTTAAGAAGAGTTTTTTGTCAACTCTAATTCCCAAACTGCTAAGTTTTAATCAAACTTGAAAATTGTTTTTTTTTTTATTTGAGAACCCCCTAACCGGATTCATTAAACGTACGACACAGTAAGGTTAGCAAAACTTTTTTAAATTTCATCACTTGTCCCCCGAAAATAATCCTTATTTATAAAAACAAATTTAATTACTTTGTATATCTGTCTTTAGGTCAAAGGATGACAAATTTTACATGATTTGGTCCAGTAGTTCCGGTAAAAAGGCTTTTTGTACGGAATTTTAATAAAATCAATTTCATATTTGACGGAGAATCTAGATTAGATCTATTTATGTCATATGTAAAGATTACATCTACCTAGGAAAATTTGATATTTTTTTTTGCCTTAATGTTCTACTCTTTAAACTTGTCTCCTTTATTTTGTAGTTGCGTGGACACCCTATTAGAAAGAGAAGAGGGGGACCTAAGGAATGAAATAGAAAGCATTCAAGGTCAAATTTTTATGCTTCAAGTAGGTATGGAGGAGTTTGGTCTCCAGTTATTTCTTTAGCTTCATGGTAAAAATATTAATTTTTCTGCGTTTTCAGGGAGTAGTTTACTTTTCTTCACACAGCTTCAGAGAAAAGACGCTTTGAATATACACAACCTCCTGGCGCCGATAAATACTAGTATTTTGCTGCAATATTGATCAAAAACGGATATTTATGTTTTCTTGTTCCACTTTATGTTATTAATGTCTTGCCACTATATGTTATTGATTTCTTCTCTACAAAAAATATGTATCATATTATATTTATTAAAATTGACGTTTTATATATTTTTGTCTTTGGATATTCCGATATATTTATAATAGCTTTTATTAATGTGTAATTGTTTTAAATTACCAATATTTTTTTTTGTTATCTTTATACTTATTTATTGGGCAACTTGTTATAAATTTTTAATGACATAATTAATGGGCTTGAAGTATGTTTAATTTTAGAAGGTGGTAGTATTAATTTATTACTAGTTATAAGAGGTTTAATTATGGTATCATCTCGCTTGGTATAGAAATTTGTGTATTTTCGAAGTAGCTCGGTGGCTTAGTGGATAAGCACCGCGGCCCGCGATCGTAGTCGTTAAGCATCTTTCGCTGGGGTCGGTCACGGGATGGGTGACCAAAAAACTATATTATCTCGAGCTACTCCGTGCTTCGGAAGACAAGTTAAGCCGTTGGTCCCGGCTGCATTTGCAGTCGTTAATACCCTCCAATCCGTATTGGGCCAACGTGGAGGGTCATGGCCCATCTTCCTTAACCATCCATAAGGAAGGCCTGAGCCCCTGCAGTGGGGACGTAAAAGGGCTGGTGATTGTGATTGATTTGATTGTATTTTCGAACAAACCTGTATAGTTCAAGTATATATAAACAAGGTAGCGTTAGGATTTTATATTTTATAAAGTAATTTAAAAAAAAGAACATTATTGTAAAAAAAATAAAAATGTACCTTTATAAAGTAAATCACACTCAATAAAATGTGTGTATACTTTTTGCTTTCTACCAGGGGACGGTTTTACCCCGCATACACACTGTGCCCTGCATACCTCTCACAAATTGCTCTCTTTGATCTAGACTTGCTCGTCGGCTAACTGTAAGAACTATGTATATAGACTGTGGTAAGTAGGTAAAACAGTTTCATGGAATTAGCTTTGTAAGCGAGTGGGTTGAATCAATACCTATTGTTTATAAATTATCAACAGTCTGCCATTTAGAATGTATTATCGGTAGTGACACAATTCGCTCGACATAAAAATTCTTCGTAAATAATTAATTTGATAACGATTACATATTTACACTGTATGTAAGTAGCTTTTTGAAACTGCCTAATGAATAGTTATTTCTTAAGAGATTATAGAATTAAGAACAGACAATAACAAGTCAGATTCAGATACACAACTGAGACTTCTCCACATGACTATAGATTAACGAAATTAAGGGCAGAGTTTAAAATCAACTGCACCTCATTGTACTACAACAAGAAAAAAACGAAACCTTTATTTAATCACTAATCAGTCACGAGTCTGTCTTTTCGTCCGTCGGTCTATCTTAACAAATGAGAAATGCTAGAACCAGTCAGTTAAAATACGTGCATTATTATGCAGACGATGCTTTTGCAACTTAAAATTTAAAAATATTATATTAGAGGACAAAGCTTATTCAACAACTGATTAATATGTTGTACGAAAATGAAGTAGTAAAAAATCTGAAACAAAAATAAAAACTTGGTCATAAAAAAAAATGATTTAATCAAGTATTACTTAAAAATATCTTAGATCATAATAAAATAACAAAAAAAAAAGGAAACGACATGTTTTTGGTATATAAGCAAGTAATATGAGTACCTTATACTTATTCATAGGAAAGACATTTATATATTTATGATACTATTATGTACATATAGTATCATACAATCTTTGAGACCGTTGAAAAACTAAACTGTTGCAGCATGAGACAACGCTTTTTCCACGAAGACCTTAGCTTTGCTACTATTATGTACATCAGTACATAATAGTATCATAAACATCTTTGAGACCGTTGAAAAATGCCAAAACTGTTGCGGCAGGAGACAACTCTTTCTCCACGAAGTCCTTAGCTTTGCTAGAATATTTGTGATGAATTGTATGTGCAACTTGGTAAACAAACGTACCGTTGTATGTGCGACTATAAATTGTATCCTTGTATGGAGACCCACATAGCTTGTTCAAGAAATTTAAACATTGAAGGCAATGTTGAAATTCAATTAACGGGTGAATCATCTTTTCATCGAATATTGTTGCCAGTTTTTCCGGAGTTGAATCTGTATAGAAATATTTATTCATTGCGTCTTTCGCTATATCACTGTCCATTTCTGTGACGAGGTTCTCATCAGTAAAATGGTCCATATACGGCCTTGGAACTAATTCGTGGTTGATGTTATTGCTGCTGGTAGATTTTTCGGCGACAATACTCAAAATCACATATGATAAAAGCACACCGCATACATCAACGGTCGTATCAACAGATTTCTGTTGTGAAAAATAGACTAAAGCTATAATTAAAAGTCTGGCGTCCTCAGGCACAGCATTCAGAACACTAAAGTCAGCAGTTGGCATTGAATTTTCAAGGAAATGTTCAAATAATCCCAAAGCTTTTATTTGGCCCCATCCGTTTTCGAACGGACTCTGAATAGCTTTATACGATGGTTTCGGGATTGAGTTCTCATCGGCAGTATTAATGATTATTATTTTCTGTTTGTTATTACGAAACTGGAATTCTTTTTTACTGAAGTTTGTCAGAAGGTTGAATGCATATTTGATAATATTCAGAGCAAGGAACATAGCGTCTTCTGCCTCTGGGTCTTCAAGACACCAAGATCCATCCATAATATTCCAGTGATAAATGTTGACATACTGTAAAGCAATGTAGCCAGATGCTACACCTTTTTCGAACCACAATGGATCGTTCTCAACGAATTCAATATGTTTACCGTTCATTAAATAGTCAACAGGTACGGCAGGTAGTTCTTTTTTGCAGATAAATTCAATAATATTATTTTTCTCACCCTCAAATTTATCAATTTCATCTGAATGCAAGTATTTATGCAGAATCTCTTTGATGTCTTCATTTGTTCTCTTTTTTAGCCAATGCAATAAATATTCCGTACGTTTGTGTGGATTACCTTTGATATTTATTGCATCAAATATTTTCTTATAGTGATCTTCTGGAAAGATTGACTCATCTGTTAAAACGATGAAAGTCGCGAGTTTTACTTTGTTTAAATGATATTTTTTTATAAAATCAACATAATTAAATATTTCACAGCGAACTGAATTCGTATTGTCATCGTAGCGCAAAAGTTTATCGTTATGGTTAATGGGTATGTAAGGTACTCCCGAAAAACAAAATTCTATGTCAAAACTAATCAATGGGCATTGAAGTTTTTGGGCCAGAGCGATACATTGTTTTTTACATTCAAATTCACAAACAACATAATCGAAATCCATTTCGTCAAGCACTTGTTTGTATATCTCCTTCGCGAATATTGGTAATGTAAATACTTTGGTGGTGGTATTTTGGGTGGTTTGAGGATTATCAACTTTATCTTTTCTGCGTTCATTGTTACCACGACCCCCTTTAAATAGAAAATAACACTTTATGTTTGCTTTTTTGAAAATACCCAGGGTTTTTCGTAAATAATCTGCGTATTTATCGCTTTCACATCCGAATTCATAGGGGAATCTCGCCTTTTCGTACAAATTATATAAAAAGTTTTGCCCGTCAATAACAACGTTACAATTTTCCAGTTCATGTGGCTTTAACTCGTTTTCAATGATCTTCCAGAATCGGCGAATCCTCATTTTGTATCTGAAAAAATAAAAAAGGTATCACTCTTTAATTTCTATGATCTTTTATAAGAATGCAAAAAATGTTTCAGACGCTCCCTTAAGCGATTTCATATTTGTATAAAAATAAAATAGGTACAGTCAACAGCACTCAGGTTATAAAATTATGTTAGAAGGTTAAATCAATAAGAGATGTTTAACATATTGTGGTAACCTGACGTGTAGCGGTGTACATGAAATACATCTACTGCACTAACGTTACGTTAGAACGCATAAAGATCGACAAGCATACATGGACAAAATAATAATCGTGGAGGGGCTAAAGAGATGTAGGGATAGTCGCTCGAGATGCTTGATCCTCTCTGCGTACCCCACAAGGGATACGGCATTAAAATTATATTATATATTTAGAATTATTTGATATTTAAATAAATAAAAAAATATTAACAAAGAATCCGCCTACGTGAAAAACAAATAGCCGAAAAGGCTGAAATATGATAAAACAATTATGAAACATCATACCTACTAACATACAGTCGGAGGCATGCACAGAGAGAATGATTTCACTTATAATTCAATTTCATTTAGCTTTTTCAGTTAGTTGTTTTTCACGCAAACGGTTTTTTTTGTTATATTTTAATTATAATTTTATTTAAGTATTTTTAATTAGACAAATTATTATGTTCGTTAAGAAAGTGAAAGAACAAAGTTCATATTTTTAAATTTTATCTTTGTTATTTTTATTACTTATTACGGTAGTGATAATCATGATATACCTTTTTGGAATCCTTGTACTGAGCCTAAGTACCTAAGTAAATAACTGTTTTTTCTAACGTTACCTATCTAAGAACACTAGGGCTACTAAGATAAATATATCAATACAAATAACATCAATTATCCAAAATTGTTCAGCGGTTCCGAACATATGAGGTAACAAAGAATATTACATACATACAAGATACGCGCGAAAAACATAACCCTTCCTTTGCAGTCAGATAAAATGTATTGATTTTACGAAATTCGACCCCTAATGGTGTAAATTAGGTTATGAAATTTTTATGGAATTTTCTCATTTCTATACTTAAAACTAATCACGCGGGCGAAGCCGCTGGCAGAAGGCTAGTTAATTAAAAATGATCTAAGTAATAAAACCAACGTTTTACAACGGGTAAACATGTTTGCTTCTAAGAAGAGGCTGTATGTATGGGCTCTAATATTCTTTTGTGTTACCTACTTTAAAAAAATGAAGTTCAAATGTACTTCATTTAAAGCTCAAAGAAAAATACTTTTTCAAGAATTACAAAGAATGAAGATTTTTAACGAGGAAATCATCCCGCGCGACTTGAGAAAAATCTTATCAAACATTGACAGTTCTGTTCCTGTATACAGATTTGTCAAAACTACAGTCCAAAAAATTTAAAGATAAAGAATATCCAGACAGGGCTGTATGGACCTAACATCCTTTGCCCGTCCCAAACAAGAGGGACAAAGGAATAAAAAAAAATTAAAAAATAAAGACAAACCAATTTGTATGTCAACCTTAATGTGGTGACGCAAATTAAGAACATTAAAGTTAAGAAGAAGAAGTATGTCAACCACCAATGTCAATAGTCAATCTTTGGGCTTTCACTACAAACATACAAAAAGAAGAGTTTATAAAATACTAAAATATGAAGTAATCTGGCGAAACACTGGCCTCTGGCGAAATCCACAAGGGCAACGCCATTAATTAAAAAGAAGAACTCAATCTTGAGATCAACAGTATCCCTAGCTTTTAATCAGAGATCCCTAGTATCTTCTTCTTAGTCTGTGCAAAAGATTTTTCATTCATTTCATTTTCTTTTTACATGTAAAAATTAATTAATTCACTTGCCATTGGCAGAATTGTGCAGATAAGCCACTAATAAAAAAAAAAAAAAGAAGAACAGTAAAAAAAAAAAGACTATCAGTGCTATTAATAAACAAGGTTTAGCGTCGAAATTTACGATGAAATTGCAATTTTAGTATTATATTGAGAATAAGCAAACTCAATACCTTTTAGGAGTAAATATTACTCCCGTAGAGCCATGTCCTTGGTTAACCTTTGCTAGGGCTTTGTTTAGTAATATGAATTTTAACTAATACTGAGTGCAGAGTCAACGTAAATTTACTACAAAGCTAAACCTTGTATATTAATAACACTGTATGGTAACAAGAATTCTACATATAGATAATTAAAATTTTTTTAAGAAAACTATCATGATTGGTGTGTGGCAATGCAACATTTGGAATTTTTTATATTACCACTTTGAAAACTTTATAAAGAGTTCTTATTGTGTTTGTTTTTTCATAAAATAATTATCGTTTTACCAAAGGTATTTCATCCATTTAAATAGGTAATTTGTAAGAGGTTCAACTGCTTCACCCAATGACTTCACCGCAGACTTCCTATATAGGCACATGCTTCATTTATTATATTTTTCAACCCTTTGTTTTATCACCTAACACAAGTGCATAACCTCAAGAACAAAATTGTACAAGAAACAAATATCCTAAATTTTAACGCATTGCAAGTTTATTATTGATTAATTCAATTTGTAATTTTTTAGTATTCTTGCTGCTGTGTGTATAAAAACAGGAAATTACTCATTTATCTATATTTAATATACAAAGCATGAGTTTTATTTAAATTAGATATCTTAATGTATAATAATTTGCATGTAAGAAGAGAGTATCTCAATAAATCAAATGTTTATCTGCCTGTTTCCAAATTGAGAAAAACACCAAATCTCAACTATTATTCTCAATACCTTAAGGTTTTTACTCTACACAAGGCAAAAAGTGCTGCTTATATCATACTGCTATCAACTGCTGATTATTAAAAAAACTAAAATCAGAAATGAAAACCTGTTTATGTAACATATAAGTAAATTTGGAGACACCCTTAAATTTTAATTCTCTATTCAGAAACTGGGTATTAATCTTTAATGAAATATGCTTAAAAAAATATTATTATAATCTAAAGAACACCTTTATTATCAGCCAATTATTGTCCCTACTGACAAGGCAAAGGCCTTCCCTATGTTTGGAATTTAATTGAATCATATTGGGCGAATGGACTGTGCATGAGCCACCTTGAATTCCCATGCATATTGGTGAGTTTTAAGACTGATGCAGTCTAAAGAACTATTACCATTCATATTATGCTAATAATAAATAAGCATATAGCACATAGCATAAAACAAAGTTCTTTTCCGCTGTCAGTATACTGACATCATACAAACAACTACACAACTGATTTTTATGCAGTTTTACAGATAACATGCTATTTATAAGTACAATACAGGGCCACACGGGCAAAGCTTATGGAAAGCTAGTCTTTTAAGCAAATAACTTTTAGAAAAATATTTTATTCACTTTCACAGACGATATTTGTTTTTATTGTTTAGTAACTCCTAATTGAAAAAAGCGCGGGAAACGTTTAACTTTAGCGGGCGCGTTTTTTGATTTTAATATTTTTAACTAATACCTCTTGCATAAAATAGTGATCAGTTAATTGGTTTGTACTTACGTATTTATAGTGTATATAAGTATTGTTTATTATCTACTTTCTGGTGAGTCAAAATTTAATTGATATTTATTAGGTGTATGAACGAGCTACCGGAGCCGGGGGGTTTTGTCCCCCCGGCTAGTAATTTTGTTACGATAGGATCAAATAATGAATCTGGTATGGATACGGATGGATCAGTAGCTAGTCGCTCTCTGAAAAGGAGTCGACTTCATGTATGCAAACATTGCAATAAAAAAAGACGCAAACATAATAAATCAGAACCAAAACCTACCGATTGTAGTTGCTATGAATCGACTCCAGTTCAGTCTGAGCTGAATAATAAAACTGACTCATCTACGAAAGACCCACCTGTGTCTAATCCCACACCTACTCCTACTTTTGCCCCTGTATCCATTAGTAGAACATCATATGATAAAACAGATGCTGCTCCTTACGTGGTACATGTTCAAAAACAACAAGCGACACCTAACGATGGAACCTCATTGCATCCAATGGCTTTTGGTAAATTCTTAAAAAAGAACTGCTTCAAGAACATTATTAATGGTAGCGTAAAAAAGATTGGCCGCAATAAAATGTCTGTCTCTTTTTCAACACACTATGATGCAAACGATTTTATTATCCACAACAGTCTTGTTACAAACAATTTAAAAGCATTTATTCCTTCATTCAACATCACAAGAATGGGTTTAGTTAGAGGCGTTCCTTCAGACTGGTCTCCCGAGGAGGTTAAAAGTAATATATCTGTACCTATAGGTTGTGGTGAAATCTTGAAAGTGAGACGGCTAAATTATAAAACCTTTGTAAATGATACCCCTACTTGGAAGCCATCTCAAACTATTGTTTTAACCTTTGATGGTCAAATCTTACCAAAACGCATATTTATGTGTTATAATGCTCTTAATGTAGATTTATACATATATCCTACGATACAATGCTACCAATGCTGTCGCTTCGGGCATACAAAGTCTCAATGTAGATCTAAACCTCGATGTTTCAAGTGCGGTCAAAATCATACAGGTGAGTCTTGTAATACTTTGGAAGAAGATGCATCCTGCTGCTTATGTGATGGATATCATTTTGCTAATAATAAGTTATGTCCAGAATTTGTAAGGCAGTCACAAATCAAACTTTACATGGCACAAAATTGTGTATCTTATGCTGAAGCTTCTAAATTGATACCATCTATTTCTAAGTCTTACGCTGAAACTGTAGCTGCCCCACCTGCAAAATTGTCCATGAATGAGATGGAAAATAGTAGAGCTGTTCCCAATGTAAGCCCTAGGACATCTTACAAGAAAACTACATTTTTGAAACCTCGCTCTTCTCCTATGCCTACAAAGGGGTATGACACAGTTGCTCATAAAGCCTTATTAAAGGAATTTATGATTCCTTCACCTAATAATGGATGTGGTTTTAATAATGATACTAATTCTGCATCAGGTACACAACTTCCTACAGATTTTGTTACTGCTCTTTTCAATCTTTTTTCCCAGTTTAATCTCTTCCCACCGTCCAACGCTGCACAGAATATTGATAATAATATGAAACCAACTTTAAATGGACAGACAGACAGACAAAATAATTCAGTGGAATTGCTGTAGTGCTAT